ATGAATGAAAAGCTACACAAGAGTTCAAATTCCAACTTGGTCACCTGCCCAGCTGGGGCGTGTTATCTCGTCCTCTGAGCCTCTGTTTGATCACTGAAGATGGGGATCGTCCCCTGCTTTGTGGGGATACCAAGGGGTCAGCATGGTGGGTGCGGCCCGTCTCACCTGCGCTCCCCAGGGGCCAGGGCCCAGTGAGGTCTCCAAGGCTCACAGGCTCCTGCCCGCCCTCCATGCCCACCGTGGGGAAGCTGCTGCTGAAGGCGGGTGGCTGCGGAGGCCTGGCCGGCCGGCAAGCCTCAGCAAACACATTTAAATCCGAAGTGACAGATAAAGCGATTTACGGCGACAGTTTAGCGTCAGATCACTTCCCACAAGGCAGTCGGCGTCCCTCGGCTCCCCTGCCTGCTAGTCCATCAAGGCGGTCTCTAAATCACTGGCTCGGAGTGGTGGCCCAGGGACGGCTGGGGGCCGGGCTCCTCGGGGCCCTCCAAACAGCAGCAGGAGCGAAGGGAGGGCTCTGGCCGGCTTGGGGGGAGGAGGGCGATGGAAGCAGCTGGCAGATTCTCACAAATCAAAGCCCCAAGACTTAAGGAAACAGAGCACCACTTCATGCCTTATTTTAAATAAATAAGCAGCTTTAAAACCTCCCAGAGCGGCCAGCTTGTCGCTCTGAAACATGGCTTCCCACCCGTTCCGCAGGGCCCGGGCCCGCGAGCCTGGGCCCCTCAAAGGCTCCCCTGACCCCCCGCGCCTCCCGCCACCTCCTTGCAGAATTAATTGGTCCCTGAGGCGACGCGTGGCGCTCTGTTCAGACCTCGCTTCCACTGCTTTGTCACATTATATTCTACTTAGTTGCTCTCACGCTGACTTTCCAATACTAATTCACGGGGGCCTTGCTACGTGCTGGGCACTCGACCCAGGGCCGGATGGGCCTGAGCACATGTCACCCTCAGCCCCACTCTCTGGGGTGGGGCCAACGATGCTCCATTTTTCAGATGGGGAAATAGAGGTTTGGAGACGCCTGGCGAGGCCACAGCATGGCCGACGGGAAGGTTAGGATCCCCAGTGAGCTCCTGGCCTCTGTGCCCACGGCCCTGGCACACCAGCCTCGGACAGCTGGGCAGCGTCTGGGGGCAGCTCGGTCCCGTCAGGTCCTGAAGGCCAGAGCCAGCAACCGGACCCTGGAAGGACCCGGAAGAGGGGTCTCCCTGTGTGCCAGGACACCTCCTGCCTGAGACTCGGCTGTCTGCCAGGACGTAGGGGCCCACAAGCATGGGCTTGGTTTGCTGGGAACTTCGAGGGCATGGAAGGGACCCTCTCAAGGTCACGCTGCCTCCTCTCACAGTCCTCTCCCATCCCGTGGCAAAGGGAAGACATGAACACTCCAGAAGCTGATACACCTCCCCTCCCCGGGGTCGGGGGGTGGAACCCCCAGACCTGAGCTTTCTCCGGAGGAGATGCCAGCCTGGTTCTCCCCACACGCAGCTGGGGAACGTGGCCCAAGCTGGAGAGGCAGGCGCTGCCCTGGAGAATGTGGGCTGCAGGAGCTCTCTGGCTTATCTGGTCAGCGTGGCAGACCAACTTAATTAAGATCGATGCCGTGTGCCCCCGTGGGCAGGAGCCACGGCCAGCGCAGATGGCCGGAGCCCCAGACTCTCCAGGCTCTGCCCGAGCAAGTGGCCTCGGCCGGCAGCCGCTGGGGCAAGTCCCAGGAGGACCTGGGGGCCTGCGCTGCACTAGGCGGGGTTGAGGGGGCTTGTCCGTGTCCCCTGGGACCTCATGCCCTGCCACCCGCCAGGCGCACGCCCTTCTACTCAGCCCCAGCCCCCTCCATCTACCACATAATGTACAGCAGTGGACACACACAACAAATCACACACGCGCCTCCCTGTCACAGCACACTCAGCACAAACACCCCAGTCACACATCACCCGCCGACAGGGGGAGCGAACACCAGTCCTGGGCTTCAGATGCCAGGGGAACATTTGGGAAGCAGAGTCTGATTCTCCAGAGTCCTGAGAGAGGCCGTGGGTGGAGCCCGTCTGTGGGGAGGGGAGCAGTGAAGAGGGCAGGCAGGGAGGACACCCCGGGTCCCCCCTAGGGATGGGCTGGAGACCGCCCCCTCCCCCCAGGGGCCACAGCTCCTCAGGATGGAGGGGGCTCCGCGGGTGCGGACCCCTTTCTCTCACAGACCCTTTCCACCCCCCCTGCAGGCCTCCCCCACCGCGGTCCCCGCAGCTGGAGCAAGGCCCAGGCAGGATGGCATCTTCCCCACCCTTCCCCATCTGGCCTCGGGGACAAAGAGAGACGCCCCCCGAGCCCACCCCCGCAGAAAATCCAGAAGCTCCACAGCGGACCTCAAGCCCCCAGCCCTGTCCGACCCACACAGCTCCCCATAGGCCACCGATTCCAGCGGGGCCAACACTGCCCTTGACTTCAAAAATAAAAATTTAAAAATTCCCACCCGAGATAATTGCTGGGCTCCTTTTGCTCATTGTGGCGGCTCGGCAGTCGGCGCTGAGAAGCAATTATTCACGGCTAATGAGTATAATCAAGTCAAATAGAATTTAATGGACACGTATTCTCTTCCTGCTTGAAACTTTACATATGAATTAAGCACATATGGGTTTCACGAGGCACAGACCAGATTTATGCAGCCCCGAAAAGCCCCGTGTTGCCGCGACTTTTATTCCGCTAATAAACAGACTGATTTACGGGCGCTGGGGGGCACAGGAACCGTGATCTCTGCTGCCCTCTGGTGGGCGGCGGCCGCAGGCTGCGCCAAGGCTCAGGGAGGATGCTGGAGGATCCCCAAACCACCAAGGACCCCTGAGATCCCATCAGAACCAAGGCCACTCAAACACCCGCCAGGAAGACCTGGAGGGAGGGTCTGCAGGGGACGCCGGCTCTGTGTGGGAGCTCTGCTGCGTGAGCATCACAGTTCATGAGGATCAGCTCCTAACAGGGTTCCCACCACCCCCATCATGCAAGCCCAGGCAGGTCCACGGAGAAGGCGAGTCCCCAGACAGGGGTGGCAAACACTGTCGGCCCCCAGTCCTGGAGAATCAAACGAAGCCAGGGCCAAAGTGCCTTCTGGACAGCGCGAGAGGCCAACAGAGCCGCTGCCCTCGGGGTCTGGCCAGGCACAGGGGCACGGGGAAGAGCCATTAATCATTCCTACAACCTCACGCAGACTCCAGAGCCCCCAGCCCGCCCTATCTGCCTCCCACAAACACCCTGCCTTGGTCCCCACACCCTCCCTCCCGCCACCAACCATCCACCTGGCTGCAAAGGAGCTGATAAGACTTCCCACTTTTCCCTCTGGCTGCTTTGCAGCTCAGAAAGAAAGACATGATGTTGGCCAAAAAGTTCACTCGGGTTTTTCCGTAAGATGTTACGGAAAAACTCAAAGTTTTTGGCCAACCTATCTGAGCAAACTCCGGGAGGCAGTGAAAGATAGGGAAGCCTGGCGTGCTGCAGTCCATGGGGTCGCAAAGAGTCAGACACGACATAGTGACGGAACCAGAACATCAGCGGGGCACCTCACACACCCTTGCCAGTGACTGCAGGGCCAGGGGCCCCAGGAAGGGCAGCCTCACAGGCCTGTGGCACTGTTCCCTCAGCCGGGGCCCCGCGGCTTGGTCCTTCCACCCCAGGCCGGCCCTCCAGGGTCCAGGCAGCAAAAAAGACCCTTCTCCTCTGGGCCACTCTGACTTGTCTTGTCTTGGCCCTGAGTCCCCCAGATGGAGACCTCCCTGCCATCCACCATCCAAGTGGCCCAAAAGAAACACACCAAGAGAAACGCCACCTCCTCTGCTCTGAGTCAGAACTCCTGCCTTCCCGTGACTGGTCGCCTGTGCACTGAGACAGGCGATATGGGGGTAAGAAACACCCCTGTGGCCACACAGGTCTGCGAATGTCAGCGAGGAGACACAGCAGCGCCACTGCCAGAAGGACAGCCCGGCCACCGACACGCAGGCGCCGAGGGGCCGAGCTCCCCTTCTCCCCGGGCCTCTCCGGCCCTGTCACTTAGCCAGCGCAGCATGGGCACCACCAAGACCCAGGGTCACTCGGCCATTCCACACCCCGGCCAGCTCTGGGCCCGCCAGTGGCTGCAAGCCCAAGGGTGAGACAGAGGAGATTCAAGACACTCCTGGGGTGCCCGAGACTGCATAGCTGGGTGTGGGGCCTCGTACAGGGGAGGTTCCCTATGAGTCAAAGTCCAAGACAAGAGGGTCCGCCCAGGTCTGCAAACCTTTCTCTAACAAGGAGGCTCCTTCCTGAGCCACCTGGTACCCACAGTGGGGGGGAAGGGGGGTAGAGACCCCACTTGCCCTTGTCCCGTGAACCATCTGAGCACCCACTGGACTTGACCGCCCCCTGACACCCCACTCCTGACCTCAGCCAGACAAACACCACCTGGAAGGATTACAACCATCTTTCTCCAGCTCCCGAGAGGGAGAGAAACAGCAAACTCCTCAAGGCATCACAATAAATGGCCAAGCCAACAAGAGCCACTGCAGGAAACCAAGTAGGGGTGCAGGGGCCTCTGCCCCCCACGCTTCCCCCGATACACTCCCCAACATGCTCCCTCGCCTGCCCCCCCATTCAGAGCGGGGCTGGGTGGGCAGGAGGCGGAGAAGGAAAGCAGTGCTTGGGGCCATCTGCAGCCCCCGAGGGCGGACCACCCCCTCTGGCCTCTGCCTTCCTGGCAGGACTGCCCAGCGCGATTCCAGCCCAGCTCTCTCCCTTCCTGGCCGCTAATGGGTCTCAGAGCTTCGAGGCAACTCAGCCAAGGCGTCCCTGACACGGCGGGTCAGGCTTTCCACGAGGAGAGGCGTCCGCGCGGCCGACTCTCTGGGTTCTGCGGCGCCGGCGGGCCACCCTCAACCGGCCACCAGAGCCTCACCGGAGCCAGGTGGCGTCCGCGCGGGCCTGGCACAGGGACGAGGCGGCCGCCCAGGCCTCGGACTCAGGCCCGGCCCGAAGGCCCCACTCACCGGCGTTGACGATGGCGTCCACCTCCAGCTTGGTGATGTCACCTCGGAACAGGGAGATCTTCTCGTTGAGCTGCTTGTCCTTCTTATACTTGGGTTCCTCCACCTTCACGGTCACCCCTGGAACAAGCAGAGGCCGAGGGGTGCTCACGGGGAGGCCCCCACGGCGGAGCGAGCCAGCAGGGACCCCTGATCAGGCAAGCGCCGGTCATCCGCCCTCTGCGTCCAGAGGCAGGGTGCCGCGCGGGGACCGATGACGCGACTAAGGACAGCCCACACTGACCAAGCACCTGCTGTGAGCGGCACACACTCGTCTCCCCGATCTTCACAGCAATGCCACACACAGGTATGGCAGCCACGCCATCCACCCCCTTTACACACTGGGTCACCCAGACCAGAGGCTTCCCAGTGGTACAGAATCTGCCTGCCAATGCAGGAGAGGAGGGTTCCATCCCTGGGTCGGGAAGATCCCCTGGAGGAGGAAACGGCAAACTACTCCAGTATTCTTGCCTGGACAGCCTCATGGACAGAGGAGCCATGGACTGGTGGGCTACAGTCCATGGGGTCGCAAAAGAGTCGGACACGACTTCGCGACTAAACAACAGACAACTGAGACGTGGGAGCGTGATGGGACTTGGCCCAGGTTCCCGGTCACCAGGTCTGCAACACGCAGGGCCAAGGTCCTCATGAGGACGCTGCCCTGAAGGCCACGACACCAAGCCAGGCAAATCTCGGCTCTGGCAGCCATGGCACCGTGCGTCTAAGGCTCAGCTTCCCAATGACATAACGGGGATCAAAACCAAACCACGGACCTCCCTGGGGTTCCGGCGGCTAAGACGCCACACACCCAGTGCAGGGGGCCCGGGTTCGATCCCTAATCAGGGAACTAGATCTCGAATGCTGCAACTAAGATTTTGCACTAAAGCTGAAACTAAAGATCCCCCCAGGCCTCAAAGAAGACCTGGTGCAGCCAAACAGATAAATACTTTTTTAAGAAAGAAAGAAATAATTTTCAACAAACTACCAAACCTGCCTCAAGCTGTGTTAATAATGAAAAGAGGTGACACATCAAAGTGCCCCGTGCAGAGCAAGCACCCATAAATACCGCCACCCTTCTTCTCTTTGGCCTTGTCTGGACAATTCTCCCCAGACAAAGGTCTGAAGGGACCACACCACACCCAACCAGCTGGGTCCCCAGCGCAGGGCCTACCTTTTGCTGTCTCCTTCCACGTTGGGATCTTCTTCAGCCTGACAAAGTCCCGGCAGAAGTAATGTTCCTCCCGTTGCTTGTCACTCAGGCCCTTCAGAAATGCTGCAGCGGGATGGGGCGGGAGAGTCAGGCGGGCAGGGAGGGGAGCAGTCCAGGGGGCCTCCCCACCGCCCACAGGTCTCCTGTCCTCTGTCCAGGGAAGGCTCGCCTCGTCCAAGGATGCAAAGCAGCCCTGCACATTCATCCTTCTGCAAACTCATGGGGAGGGCATGCGGGAGGCGGGTCCCCTGGAAGATCTTGCCCTGCCCACTTTGTTAGGAAGGGAAATTGAGGCCCTTGGAGGTGGAAGGTGTCTCTCAGGGGTAGGGAGGCCCCCTGGACTGCTGCCACACCTCTGAGCCCCTAGTATCCTCATGTATAGAATGGGGATTAAGACAGCCCTTGCAGAGTGATTTCAAGCTTACTCATACATGCCAAGGCCAGGCAGGTTGGTGGCACTGAATCAGTTACATCATCAATCAGTTACATCATCATTGCTGTTATGTGTAGGCAGCGGGACACAGGGAACCAGGACAACCGTCCTCCTCACAGGCCGGCAGAACCAAGCAGGTGTGGAGCCTGTTTGCGCCATGCCCCCTGCATTGCCAGAGGGCTCCCCACCGACAGATGCCCGGCTGGGGTCTCCCCCAGCTTGAACCAAGGGCGCGGCTGGAATCGTCCCCATTTTACAGGTGAGGAAATGGGCCCAGGGAGGTTAGGAGGCCACCTGTGGTCAGACAGCTAGTGACCTGAAGCTAGGCCCTGCTCATCCGCTCACAGACTCTGGGTCCGCCCAGGCTGGTTCCCCTGCTGGGCCTGGCCTTCCCTTCGGGCGGCACCAGGCCGGGGAGCCGCGGTCCAGGCTTGCGGCTCGTGGGCTCCCCCTGCCGGCCTGAGGCCACCAGGGCAGCCAGGCTCAGTCCAACCTGCTCCCCTCCACCACTCCATCCAGGCTCTGCCTCTCCCTGGCAGTTTGAACACAAATCAGTCAGCTAACAGGCATTTACTGAGCTCCCACCACGTACCAAGGCTTCCAAGGTGGTGCTAGGAATAAAGAACCCAATGCAAGAGACAGAAGAGATGTGGGTTTGATCCCTGGGTCTGAAAGATCCCCTGGAGAAGGAAATGGCAACCCATTCCAGTATTCCTGTCTGGAGAATCCCATGGACAGAGGAGCCTTGTGGGCTACAGACCACAGGGTCACAAAGAGCCGGGCCCAACTGAAGCAGCTTAGCACGCACACACGAACCACACACCAAGCCTGGGAGGCAAGGTGAGGTCTAGGGCCTGACCGAGCAGAGGGCAGGCTGGATCAGCCTCCTGGAAGAGGTGCCCCCAGTGTCTCCCGTCTGCCCCGGAAGCTGCAAATCACTGGAGAAAACTCCCACCAACCGAGCAGACGCTCCCTCTAAATTCTCCGTCTCCCCCAGGTGGCCATGGCAGCTGCTGCTTTGGAAGTGGGTCCCCCCTCCCCCTCTCCCTCTCCAAGCCTCCTCCACTTGTCCTCCCAGCTATGGGGCGCCGCCTCCTCACACACACACACACACACACACACACACATGCCCACATCTCGTTCTCCCTCTCTCGGGTCACTAGGCACAAAGGTCCATCCTCCTAGCTGACGCTGCCCAGCTCACCTCCCAAGGACTCCTGCGCTCCCCCTCCACCAGGCTGTCCTCAAACACTGTCTCCTGTACCCGCTCTATGAAAACAGAACCCTCCCTTGACACTGTATGCCATGCACTGTAGCTGCGGCCTCGTTTCTCTGCCCCTCTCCTCTGCCGCCTACGTTCTGTCTCCACGTCCTCCTCCCCCCAACCCCACCTCTCCGTCAAGGCCAAGGTCAGAGGCACCACGCCGGCTGCTGGTGGCCCTTCCCGGCCTCCCGACCCCTTCTTCCCTCTCTGGACCCTGCCTCCTGGCCCCAGGCGGCTCCCTGGCCCTCCACAGCCTCCTTGCGGCTTCCCTTCTTCCTTAATCCACACCCTCTCCTTGGGTTTTATTTTCTTTTAAAGATTCTTTTTTTTCTCATGTAGACCATTTTTAAAGTCTTTGCTGAGTTTGTTACAATATCGTTTCTGGCTTTTTTGAAAAATGTTTTGGCTTTCTGGCCCTAGGGCATGTGAGGTCTTAGCTCAGGGATGGAACCCACACACACCCCTGCACTGGAAGGCGAAGTCCCAACCACTAGACCACCAAGGAAGTCTCTCTCCCACGGTCTTCACGGCAGTTCCATGCATTCCAAATCCCAGGGTGCATCTCCAGCTTCTCATCTCTTCTGAGCATCTGCCCCCTGAGTCCTGCAGCCTGCCCTCATCCCCAGATTCTCTGCATGCAGAACTGAACTTCAGACCCCCCATCCTTCCTACCTTCTCAGTGGATGGCCCCAGACTTTGCTGGGGCCCCCAACCAGGGATCTTTCCTTTCTCCTCCTTCCCCTTTCCACCCATCTGCTGACTGTCAGATTTATTGCCACAACACCACGGAAACCAGGCCTTCTGCTTATCCCCTCCAGGGCCAAGCCTCCATCATTAACTGCTCCCTAGTGCCCTCCAGAAGCCCCCACTCCCAGCTGACTCCCGGTGCCCACCCTGACACAGCAGCCCAGAGATCTCAGGAACAGAAGTCAGAAGCTGTCTCTCGGTGCAAAGCTCAGGTCAAACTCCAGGCCCTTACCTGTGCTTGACAGCCTGCCTCTTCCCCCAACCTCCTCCTGTGCTACCCTCCCTACCGCACTTCTACGCTGAGCCTTCCAGTTCCCCCAGCAGCCAAGCTGTTGCCTGCCTCAGGGCCTTTGTGCCTGCTGTGCCTCCCGCCTGGTCTTCCTTTACTGCCCCCTCCTCCTGGCCCTGCCCCTCCCCAGAATAGTTGCCTGCCCTACCATCTGTGTTCTGCTTGACCCTGGCCGTATGCGGACCTGTCATATTTATGCTGGATTCCCAGCACCAGCATGTAAGGCACATGTGAGGGTCCCTGGGGTGAATCAGTGAACCAAGGATCTGAGACCTGAAGGCTGAGGGCAAGTTTGCTAAGAGGACAGGGTCTTCTGGGAGGAGGGGAGCAGCATGTTCAAAGGCCTTGAGATAGGAGAGAGCCTTTGCGTGGGGAAATGGAGCGAGATCTAGAACAGCTGGACTGGAGAGCAAAAGCTGGGCTGTGGTTGCCTCCCCAGTTTGTCCTAGGCCCGCGCTGGCCCAGGGCCCGGCCATGCAGGGGCTTCCACTCCACTCTCGCTCCTTGGTCCCCCAGGTTTGGGCTCATGCCCCCCGACTGTCGTGCTCATGGGCAAGGCGCTCACCCTCTCAGCCTCGGTTTTCTCATCTCTAGAATAGGGGCATGGAAGGCCCTCCCCAGCACCCGAGCTCGCTGTGAGCGAGAAGGTGGCTGTGAAAACGCAGAGGAAGCTGTCGGGCTCCATACACACATCAGACACACTCACTTCCTCCTGGGAGTGAGATCTGTTGCTGCTGCTCAGTCGATAAGCCCTGTCTGGCTCCTTGCGACCCCGTGGACTGTAGCCCGCCAGGCTCCTCTGTGCATGGACTTCTCCAGGCAAGAATGCTGGAGTGGGCTGCCACTCCCTTCTTCAGGGGACCTTCCTGACCCAGGGATCGGAGCCAAGTCTCCTGCATTGCAGGCAGATTCTTTACCACCTGAGCCACCAGGAAAGCCCTTTTAAGTTACTTGGGTCCCCATATTTGTCATCTTGCACAACTGTGACCAAAGACCCCCTTGGAGGTCTCAGGGTGCTCGAGTACCAGTACTCACAGCCGGCTGGACTATGGCCAATGAAAGCCCATGCTGTGACACCGGAGGGGCTGGTCCAAGGCGACCCCACAGGACTCCCACAGTGGAATTCCTCCAGCTGGGGCAGCCTCAGGCACCCAGAGATGGCTCATGTCCCCTAGCAGACACCATCTGGCAGAGACCACCACCTTGCTTTACAAAAGCAGCTGAGCGATCGGCCCTGGTCACAGACAAGCAGCAGGATCCCAGGGCAGGACCCGGCCTGTCCTGCACTGTCCTCCCCACGACCTGGGGCCTGCTCTGAGTGACCCCCAGCCCCCAGAGCCCCACCTCTCTCCAGCAAAGACCAAAACACGGCTCTGCTTCCCAGAGATGGCCAAGGAAGACCATCAGAGCTGCCTGCATGGCCACCGGCAGTCTAGGCACCAGCCCTGAGGACACCTGTCAGACTGCCCTCCCGGTCTGTGGTCCCCAAGTGCACATCTCCTGGGGCCGGTGTGCGGGGTGCTACATCCTTGTTCATCTCCAGAGCAAAGTGGCGACCTGGAGGAGCTACAGGCCGTGCTAGTCTGGTTTATGGGAGAGAAGCCAGCTGAGGACCCGAGCACTGTCTTCAGGGCCTCGGCTTCACCTGCCGGGGGGCTGCCCCCAGGCTCCCCCACTCACTCCAGGAGAAGCAGGACCCTAGGGTGGGCATGAGCCCCACGAATGTCTTTTTTTAAATATATATTTGTATGTATTGGGCTGTGCTGGGTCTTTGTTGCGGCATGTGGGATCTAGTTCCCTGCCCAAAGATCGAACCCAGGTCCCCTGCTTTGGGAGCAAGAAGTCTTACCCACTGGACCACTAGGGAAGTCCCGCCCCACGCATTTTTGACACACACTACCTCCCTCTGCCAGAAGCACAGGTGCAGACTTAAAGCACAAGTGAGTTTTATTTTTCTTATAAAAGATGTACAACATACGCTTTAATTTTCTTTCTATTTTGGAGAGGCGAGAGTATTTCACAGCTCAGTGAGACAGGTGCTGGAAAAAAGATGTTTGCAGTAAAGTTTGATGGGGAGGTCTGACCCCAGACAAAGCTTTCAGCAGCTCCCAGGCACGAAAGCCGAGCTGGAGGAAGCAGGTTGTGCCAGAGCCATAAAGTGCAGTGGGTGAATAGGAATTCAATGATGTATTTTAAGAAGTGTCTTTATAGTGCTTCCCAGCGGTGTTTGGAAAGGTTGAGGGTGGGCTGGTGAGCGCCTTCTCTTCTGGAGAAGGCCAGGTGGGCAGGGCTGATGAGGGTTGGGCTCTGGGAACCCTGCAGCAGGGGCA